TGCTGCCGATCACATGGGCAAGCTGTTGAGAGCAGCTTTTCCCAACTTTGATGAAGTAAAGCAGTTTCACGCTGGCCGAACAAACACGTCCTGTATTGTAAAAGAGATGGCATCTGAGACAACAAGAACTGTGGTTAGTGATTTGAAATGCTTTCCCTTTTCTGTTGCAAAGGATGGAAGTCACACAAGTGATGCCAAGCTCTATCCTCTCGTGATAACGTACCCTGACAAGGCCACTAAGTGTGTGAAATCACAGCTATTGTCACTGCCAGTCCTCAATGGTCCATCAAGTGGTGTTAACATAGGAGAACTTGTATTGACAGAATTAGAAACCTTAGGTGTTCCCTTTAAGCACTGCATAACTCAGAGTTCAGACAACGCTCCAGTGACGATAGGACAAAATAATGGAGTTATAGCAAAGTTTAGGGAATCCCAGCCAGACATCTTTGCCATTGGATGCCTCTGCCATCTTATCAATCTGGCTGCACAGCATGCAGCAAAGGAGTTTCCTGTATCAGTGGATAGTCTGCTAATTGACGTGTTCTATTACTTGGGAGTCTAGTGTCAATCGCAAGCAAAATTTGCAAGAATTTCAGCAGCTTATGGGTTTGGAAACACAAAAAATCCTGCGCCATGTGTGTACTAGATGGTTGTCCCTAGGCCAGTGCCTGCCTATATTCAACACTCAGTGGGATGCTCTCCTTAAATTCTTTACTTCTGAATGCAGTGATTGCAAAGCTGAAAAGAGAGAGATGGCCCCTCAGCCAAAAGCATTCACCATCCACCAAAAATCATCTACTGACAGTACTGGTGCCTCCTGCTCTTCTCTGTGCACATCGGCAGACAGAAGAGATTCTCAAAAGCAAGAAAAAGTGAAAAAGAATGCAAAATCCCCTGCCCCTCCTAAGGTATCAGAGAGCTCAAACAAGAGAAAACTATCTGTTGGTTCTGGGAGCACTGTACCTGCAAACAGGAAAAAGAAGATAGACGCTGACCCCAAACTCACCAAACCAAAAATCAGTAAAGAACAGGATAAATCAAGTGGAGCTACAAGACCTCACAAAATTGCTCACTCCTTGACCTCCACCATGACCAAGGCTATCAGTTGTCTTCTACAGTTTTCCATTAGAAACTTTGAGAAGACCAATGTCATACTTCAGACAAACCAGCCACTCATCCATTCACTGAAACACATACCGGACACCTTTCTTAAGCAACAGATGGCCACATTTCTGAATCCTTCAGCACAAGTGAAGTGAAGTGCATTCAATACAAAGACACTTCTCTACAAAAAAGTGATGCAGACATAAGTGTAGGATCAAGTGCTCACAGTATTGTCATGACCATGCAGAGAGAACCCAATTCTACAACTGGGTCAAGAAATAATACTTCAAGCCCTGTGACTATATAGTTTCCAAATTCCCTCTCAATTCTGAGGTTTTGCAGCATGCCCAAGTAGCTGATGTGAAGAAGAGAGACACCATAGGCTTCAGCTCCCTCAGATTTTACTTCAGCAAGTTTCCTGTTTTGCTTCCGACCATTGAGGGGGAAAGTTCAGATGATGCAACAGACTCACTGGAGAGTGAGTTCAACTACAGAGGACCAGAATAAAATGCCTTTAACATAGTGAATGAGGATGGCACACCCGAATTCAGTAAGTTGAGAAACATTATGCTGGGGATACTCTCAATTCCACACAGCAATGCTGAATGTGAGAGAATCTTCAGCCAAGTACGAAAGAACAAGACAGACTTCAGGGGCTCTTTCTCGAATGATATGCTTTCAGCTCTGCTTGTTCAGAAATCAAGAACCAATGTCAAATGCTATGAGGTGAGTTCTCTACCACCTTCCTGAAGTCAGCAAAGTCTGCTACATCTGCAGCAGTCAACAAGCAGTAGGCTCACAAGAAGGGGAAAAAGACAAAAACTGGCTTGGACATCCCCTTGAGTGTCTGTACTCTTCTCTTTGGGGGAAGTTTATTTCTACTTGATGGGATGTCAACAACTCAGCTGTCAACTTTATAAAGTAAGGTGAGTGCAAATAATATTTATATATTGTCATTGTAACATGTGTCTGTGGTGTGCTTATAATTTGAGTAGAAGTTGTCTTTTGGTATCTTTTTGAGGTAAGAACTGGTCTCTTTCGCAGACTGCGTGATGAAAATCTGTTTTTTAATTTTGAAAACTTGGCACCTATGCGTACAGATCGGAATAACGAGTAAATTTCCTCTTTGGAAAGTGGTGGCACAGAGTTCCCCATGTCGTATGGATACAATAGTAAAACACGACGTACAGATAGAGTTAAGTAAGCGTTTTTATGGCATTTGCGACACGATTAGGTCATATAAATGTCGAAGAGTAAAGGCGTTACCAAAGAGTAACAAACACGAAAAGAAAGGAAGAGAGATAAGGACAACAGATGTTCGTTAGGAAAGAAGGCGCAAATTACATTAGAGCACCCGTCACACCCACAATGAAATGTCTGGATGAGATGCTTATGATTCACAGAACACACATTATGCAGTATCACTACCAACTAAGAAAGGTTGTGAATTGTGAGAAACTGAAGAATTTTCTGTTCTACGCCAGAGTCTCAGCAGGACAAAGAGATGACGGGTATTGCACAGTTAGAACTTTTGAGGAGGCAGCGTGGAACAAAATGTGGAAATTGCCCTTGTACTTGTAGTGTAGCACACCTGACGTAATGCAATCACAAAGTACGGTTACTCAAAGTCCCTGCACAAACCCTTTCGAAAAATTTAAAACAGCCATGATAGCGTCTCTATCTCAAAACTCAATACATTTTTCTGCTTCCAGCTCAAACAAAACAAAATAATAAGCATTCTCAGGAGTCATTTATATGACCTAATCTCCTCTTTAAACCTTCAGCACCCCTCTATCTCTCTCTCAATTACCACAAATGTTCAAGTTGAAACACATACTTCTGCTATTATAAATGGGTCAGGGTTGGATGAGATACTGACGCACAATGTGGAATGATACTAACAGTTATTCATAGGGGAGGACGTTCACCACAATCTGCCTAAACTTCTCTACAGTCTATTTAGTCAACAGATATTATGTCTAGCCTAAGGAAGTAGTACTAGGTACCAGAAACTAAATTTTCAAAGTAGCTGCATGCCAAATTAATCTGTTCCATTTGAAAGGCCTATATCCACTGAGCATTTTGGTACCATTCTTTAATCTCTCAGTCAATTTTTAAGAAAATGGTAGTTTAAAATTTGATCAAATTTGAAGGTCAGTCACTGGCTGCAACCCCATGTTTGACAGTAGAGATAATAAAAGAGTACCAAGTGCATTAAACATCTCCACATTAACAGAGTACAATCACTATAACAAATATATGGAGCCTAATTAATAGTAATTTTTTTCAAGACTGTGAGAACATTGCAAATCAGTATTTTATCACCTCAAACACGATGATCTGTCATTATTTCGACAAAGACACAGAGTGTTGACCTGGCCGGCGCCGCACCGGCCCCCGCGGCGAGCCAGTTGGCTCTATACTTAGACCTGCATGTTTGCCGACAATCGTCTGAAATCCGACAATCGCGACGCGACCTGCGAGGCGGCCGATGCTATCGCTAGGCCCACCTGTATCAGTCAATGTGCGAAGTGCGAGGCCTGGCCGACTGCCAGCATCCCCTTTTTCTCCCGTCGGCTTTGTCGGCACTTTTGTTTTCGTGCCGACGGCCGACGTTGGCGTTTCCGACATAATTGTCGGAACCTGAGTAGAAATGCGAATACAAAAAAGGACGACGACCTAAATTATCTACTTTCAGTTTCGTGCTCGAGCGGCCATTTTGAATTTAGTTTTGTTGACAAATTCAATTGTTCAGATCGTGTGGATTCATTCCAGTCCGACTCACTTAGATTTATTTAATAGAATCTAGATCTAGATCTAGATTTATATACTCTAGATCATTATAGATCTCAATGGAGGATTCATATTCCAATTCTATTTTGTCAAACCCTATCATAGGCTGTGCTGTAATATTAATGTTGGTAAAAGGCATTTCATCAGGTGCGTGAATTATTTATTTATTTAGAATCTAGACCAAGTCTTAGTCTAGACTCAGCTGAGCCCCTCTGTTCGGAATCGGGTGCGGATTTCTAGTTCATGGCCTATTCCTAGATCCTATTCACTTGTTCTACAAGATCTAGATCTATTTAGTTTACTAGATCTATATGGAGGATTCATATTCCAATTCTAGAATCTATTGTGTTATTGTATCAAACCCTATTATTATAGATCTAGCAATATGTAGATGTAGGCCATTATGCTCCTTGTAAGCCTTGTTTGTTTTGGAGTGTGGTTATTTAATTTTAAAAATGTTTTTCATTTTGGACTTTTGCTGGCCTTTTCACATGAGGCTCGTTGCAGGTTCTTTTTTGGGGTAGGCCTAGGGGTAGGGGTAGGGGTAGGGTTAGGTCTTTTCTTTGTTGTGTTTGTTGGGGTGGTCGCTCGTTACTCGGAAGTCCTTCCTTAAGACACCCACAAAAGCTCTTTGGGGGGGGGGGTGCGCAAAATTTTCAGACAATCTGGTTGAGGCTCACATGCAGGTCTAATAGTGTACCCCGCGCGGGGGGTCACATGCTTTCCGAGTCTAACGGAAGGATCGATGCAAAAATAATTCCACACTAATTACTTTATTCTAATAGGAAATGAACTGATCTTTTACTTGCTACCTTTTTTGAGCTGGTATTTTACATATTTTGTGTAAAAAATGATCTTTGACAATTTTGAAAGTATTTTTAAAGGCTTTCTACTTAAACGCCAAAAATATACCAACCCCCCCCCCCCCAATCCTGAGAACTGGACTCTCATTTAATTCTTCAACAGTCGAGTCCCACCGTCCCACAAGCCTTTTGTGGGTATGTTTTCAAACACAGGGAAACAGCTATCAATTATTTATATTTTCTATAAATAAAAAAATAATGGCATTGCTTTCACAGCCAAGAGACACAGTTCCTCTGATGTCTTTCCTGACAAATGAAAAAAAAACAAACAGAAAAGGGATCCAAAACAGAACCAAAAAAAGATACAAAGTGTTTGCATTTGTAAGAGAGAAGGAGGCCCGTTATCCTTGGAAGGTGAGAAGCAAGGCTTTTCCTTGACATCCTTTCCAGCACTTTCTGTGCGTAGCCATCGTCATATTTGTCATCAAAGACAAGTGTTGGATGAGTTCTGACTTCTATCACAGTTTCAGAAAGTAAACAAGAATGTTCCTGTGATGTCGGTCTATCAGCTTTGCTCCATAGACATTGCAATTGCTCGTTGAAGAAGCTCCTCCTCAGACAGCTCTAGGGACGAAGAAAAAGAGAAATATATAAATACAAGATTTTTATAAAATCCTACAATATTTATCAGGTACGTCACAGTAGAAGTAGAAGTCCACAAATGCTGGAGTAATAAAGTGCTACATTATATAATAAATATTGTCTAACAAAATCTCAGTTCATACACATGATAGAAAAATTTGATCCAACCTTTCCATATTTTTCTCCTCATTTCAAAATTTCAACTTTTTTTTTTTTGCACAGTTATCTGTCTAGTCAGTAAATTACTGTAACATTTAAAAATGACAAACGCATTAACTATCCAGGAACCAAAGGTCTCATAAAAATTCTATTTAATTAAAGCATCACAGATACCAGATAACTACCACGAGCGGTGCTGCCAAGAACAAGTGATTATCTTGACTAAGAAAAGAACACAACACACCAGACTCAGACAACACATGTACAGATGTTTTAACTGATTCCATCCATGATTTTTTCAGGCTCTGGACAGAATTATTTTTCCCTGTTCAGTTTTAGACCTGTAGTGCATCTATTTAATGCATTACTGTGAAGCTTTAAGTTACTCTAATATGTATTGTCATATACCAAAACCGATTGGAATCAATAGAGGGATCTGCTTATATCAATAACAATGACCTACAAACTGTTTGTATTGTATTTTCCCTCAGACAAAAACGAAGGAGAAAAAAGAATTGTGCAACACCTCTTCGAAAATTTCGACTCACCGCATTTTCTCAGCTCTACAAGTCCTTATAATCCAGAGGAATCAACACAAAATTGTAGCGATATCACCCTAGCACACATTTATGCAAGAATTTCACAAATTTAGTTGAATATCTTTCTTTGAAGGGCTTTTTTTTATTATATCAGGCGCCGTGTTATTTACCCTTAGATCAAACCTATATAGCAACAACAAAACAACTATTTTTGCAAGAATTTCGCGGAGTTTCTATCCATATTGGCGCTCAGAGATTGAGGTCAGGCCTGTTTACAAGTTCTACTTCCTTTCGACAACTTAAAAAGTAGAAACTATGTTAAAAAGTGCACATTTTTTTCGGATTTCGCTCAGATTTCGTTGAGCCGCTCACAACGGTCGAATGGAGGCAGCGGAAAAACTCAGAGCCACTGTCAGCGGCTGAATGGACGGAATCAGTTAAACTAGTACAGTCACCAAAATACAGGTATGGAGAAGCATATCAAACTGAAACATGCAGTACAGGACACACAGAACCCTGAGACATGAACGTGACCAACCCCATTAACACTACAGGAGAAGCCATATGGCCCAACAGAGGAACTGAGCAGGACGGCCCAGTATATGATAGAAACCAGACTTTAAGTGTGGTGCAATCAAGAAGAAAAATACATTTTTGCTTGTTTTTACCTATTTTGGTCTATTGCTTGGCATGTTTCATTTCATCTACCATACCATCATTCTCAGAAATGGCTGATGCCTTCTGTTAACCACATATATACAATTGTAGACAGACAGAACACCATTAGGTGTAATCTGTTTGAATCTTTGAAAGAAAAGCAGTATTCCTCAATGTTTTCTCCTGTGACTAATGCCATATTTTCCCTGAGATCTTCAAATGTTTCTAGTGAAATCAATGAACAAGAAAATTCAGTCAGTTTCCTTCTGAATTTTCAACAGGTGGGATACATTTATTAACCCAACTCGGTAAACAAGGTAGAATTTCAACATCTATTTCAAAAGTGAAATAAAAACCACCTTCTCCACTTTGCTCTGTGCCTGCCGATGAGTTCTCAGATTTGTCTGTCGATTCACCCTCACTTGACCCTCTGACTGGTTCGACTCCCCCTGCTTGTTGTCTCTCCAGAAAAGCGAGCCGCTTCTGTCGTAGTTCCTCTGGCGAAGGCTGAACATCTCTACTGCATGAGGCAGGTTCACTGTCAGCTGACCCTGATGGTTTTGCCTTGTTAGCAGAGTTGGTTTGAGGTGAAGAAATGTTTGAGAAAGTAGGTACCATGTGATAACCTGAAAAATTACAAAAACTGCAGTTTTAAAAGCTGCTTTCATATGTGTCCTTTCCATCCCAAAGAGGAAGAAACTTTACACAGTACAAAAATAAAAGAACTGGACACTTTTAAATTATTGCCCTGAAACAAACACACTGTCACTATAGCTGTCCCCGTAGAATTATGCAAATTTAGATGGCCAAATTATGCCAAAAAAAGGCAAAATTATGCAAGTTACCATAACACCATTCGCGACATGTTTAGCTCTTTTTCAACATGAATTTTCCTGATTTTCATGTTTTATGTACAGAAAAATTGAAAACAGAACATATCAGTAGTTTGTTGTGTATTTAGAAAGAAAAAAACAGTAAGAAAAAAAACAACCAAAAAATATAATCTCTGTAACTTTCAGCTGTAGATCTAGATCTATAGAGAAAAGAAAAATGTAAAAAAAACCAAAAAGGACATCTGGACCTCTGATGCTGGCACATTACTACAAACCAGGGACACCTGTCAAACATGAAACATCAGCAGACATGAGAACAACAACTTTTGATGGATTGAAAAATTGAACATGCTCAAAAATCCCAACCCATAACCAAGATCTTCTAACAAGGGAAATAACCAACTTTTCACTTAAATGAGACTTATTACGGTGCTTACTTCCTTTTAGTCACATGGCAAGGCGTTAATTAATTGTTTTGTGAAAAAAAAAGGAAAAAAAAACGTGAAAAAAACGTGGGGGATCCAAAATTAGCAAATGCTGTAGAATTACGCGAAAAAAATGTGGCTGCACAATCGCGTAATCCAACGGGGACAGCTATAGGTACACAATGCTTTGAAAATGAATTATATCTGGTTGAACCTGGTAAAAGGTCGTCGGTTGAGTTTAGATCCGTTGGTGATTAAACTAGGGTCGGTTTACCTCTATGCATGTGAAAACTGGCACCAAGTCAAGATTCAAGACAAGAGTCCTTGAGACTGAAGAGCTCCCACTGGTCAAGATAGAGAACATCCACACCATCTTAGTTTTAGTAAGTGTCTTACAGCACTTGCAACACAATAAGGTCATATAATAATTGCTGAAGATTAGAGGTGTTACAAGACAGTAACAAACACAAAAAAGAAGGAGGGGAGATAAGGATGATAGGTGTTTTTTAGTTTTAGTAAGAGTTTTACTGCACTTGCAACACAATAAGGTCACATAAGTGCCGAAGAATAGATGTGTTACAGGAGAGTAATATACACAAAAAAGGAGGGGAGATAAGGACGATAGATGTTTCATAGGAAAGAAGGAGCAAACCACACCAGAGCACCCGCCAACCACCCACACACCATCTTACTCAACTGTGCTCTCAACTTCAGTGGGCTGGCCATGTTCACTATGTGGAAGACTGTCACCTCCCAAAGAGACTACTCAATAGTCAGCTGACTTCAGGATAACACTCACTCACCAGGAAAATGCTACAAAGATATGCTGACGGCAGCTCTTAAAAGCACCGTGACATTCCTCATACCAGGTGGCAGAAACAGCTCAAGACCACATTGTTAGGCACTCCCTTGTAAATTACGGGAGTTGTGGAATTTGAAGAGAGATGTATCATGTAAAAAAGAACAGAGACATCAACTGAGAAAAGATAGAGCTAGTGAGAGCTCCATCTCTCAGACAAGTCCAGACCCACACATTCCCTGTCCCCACTGCAACAGACATTCCCAGGCCAAGATCTGCCTGATCAGTCTTCTATCTACATACCCCACCTCCCTGGTGATGTGAAGTAATGGTCATCTTCGTCTGTGAAGAATGAACCATCATTAGTTAAACGCTTTCGGATATAATATATTCATGTATTCAAAACTTATCCTCGTGAGTGAAAATCTTTGTAAAGTGATTCTCAGCCTAACGAACTTCAACTTTGAAAAAAATTAAACATTTAGTCTGGATATTAAAAGGGGAACTTAATGATAATCTGTATGTCTTGATATGCATAACATAAACTATTGGGCCCACATCTTAAAATGATGAAGACTGAATTTCCTACTACTGGATACTCAATACACCAATCTTATTAACAGTACAGATATATTTTTGCTTCCCTATTTCTCAACTGAAAGACACATCACAGACATTGTCAGACCTCTGAGGAGAAAACGCATTACCTTCCAGACTCATCTGAAGAGCTTGTTGTAGAGCTGAGTCATCATGTTCTATCATCTCTTTACTGACTCGCAAAGCCTCCTTGAGAGCATCGTCTTCATCGTCCTCTGCTCCCTCAGCTCCATCAATGCCACCTTCTTTCTCTGTCAAAAGTCTCGGCTTCACTGTCTGCACAGCAGGCATAAGTCGGAGTAACTGGTCAGCTTCACATGAAGGCAGTGATCCCGTGATTATGAATATAGAGTAACCTGAGAACACATCAAACCAATGAAAAGTACCCAAAAAAAGACAAATCTCATATTAAAAAAAACTTTTCAAGTTTATCATTCATTAGAAACGGCTGACAACTGTCTTTTTTCAGTGGCTTTTATACTGGGAATGGGACAAAAACAAATGATATGCATAAAAATTTGAGCTACAAACAAGGACAAAACTTTAAATAAAGCAAGTGTATGACTGCAAGCTGAATCTCCAGATACAGCTGCACAAAGGCATAAATGCTAAAACGTACACAATCACAGATTGTGAAACAAAGAATGACACTGTGAATTGCATTTCATCTGATACATTTCAACATAGCACAAAAAAAGGGCTTATAGTCCAATCATTAGTATCTGAATAAAGACCTCTGATTGGTCACATTAAATGGCTCGATGCATCTGAAAGGTCATAAAAAAATATAGCTTGCAATATGCAATATAACGAGTTACAAACAATTGTTATTTACTTGGGACTAGAATAGTCATGGAACATTAAGTGAGATTGACATATCAGTTTGGGTAGCTAGCAGGACAAGCTACAGTCGAACTTGCTCTAATGGCCATCTGCCAAAGACAATCATCTACATCTGTACACTTGAACATTCCCTATTCACGTTATCACACAATGACTAGATTTTCACTTTCAGGAATCAAGTTTCTACATTTATCTACTTTTCAGTGCAAACATTGTATCAGACTGCTTACTCAACTTAAGAATAAGAAATTAAAAACTTAGTCTAGATTGCATTAACTGCAGCAAAGTCAGAAAAACACAACTGACATGTTCAAATCACAGGAGTTTCAAACCATAAACACTTCCACAGCACAAATTCACTACGATTATATTTTTACTCACGGAATGAAACAAAATGTCACTGGATTATACAAGAATAATCAGTACAAAAAACTTTTTAAAAACCCAACAGGACTGCTATTCACACACCTTCTTGTTGCAGTTGTGTGAGGAAAAGAGCGAGATAAGTACTTGAAATCAACTCTGGGCCGGACAGTAAACTGTTGAGGTTGAACCATTGTTCTCCCAGTTTGCGAACACAGAACCAATGTTGATGGTAGTTACAAATGAATGCTGTCATCTGCCTAGATTTTTTAAAATTAAAAAAGAAGAAAGTGTGGGGGATAAGGAGAAGGAGAAAAATATTTAAAAACTGATCATGGAATTTCACAGAGGATAATCAAAATTCACAAATCAATACAAGAAAATCAGACTTGTTTATTGAAAGGGGGAAAAAAGGTAACACAATAGATAAAAGAATGGGAAAAGAAGTCAAGGGTACAAAGGCATTCTACAACTACGATTATCTCCTATTTGCTCAAATGATGAGAAGAAAAAAATGTTTTCTCATTCATATGAACATCACAATAGTTTACTTGGAGATAAATAGAGAAAGTTTATTGGTAACAATTCTTATAATATAATGTAGGGAATGTATAGCATAAATTATTCAAGACTAGAACTGACTAACATTACATGTAGAAGAACACATGTGAAACAAAGAATAAATAAAAAGGTCTGTGAATTGTCAAAAATATATAGAACTTTCTATACAGTTTTGCCATGTAGAATTAAGGCACACAAATCTTATGCCTGTCTGAGCATGTAAGTAGTAACAATATGCTAAATATATTTGAGCCTTTATCTCATTGTTCTGCTCAACTGCCTCAGTAATTGCCACTTTGGTCTTGAGTCTAATATGCTTTCTTTCACATGAAAGGCCATATATTGAAATCTAGATGAGAAAGATGACATTCAGTAAGAGATTATTGTAAAACATGATTGTTTCGGTTAACCTTATCCGTACACCCTGGGGTCATTTTGTACCCCTGGGGTTGTATTCTTCACATTTTAGAATACAGGGAGATCCAAAAAAAACCCCCCAGCCTGTACAACTTGTTTTGTAGATATCTTCTTCCATACTGAAGTTTTGCATTTCAGATTTGAACATAATATATGGCGCATTTAAAAAACAACCCATTTTCTACCTTGTCCTTATTTTCCAGCATGAGGCACCAGTTCGCATTAGGCATACCACTAAAAGTTGCAACGATCGTGCTGTATTGCAAACTTCAGCCGTCAAATTTCGTTTGCCTGCTGGAGATTATGGTTAAGTTTAGCAAAGAGCAGAGAGCTTTTTGTATTGAACATTACCTCTCCACAAACTCACCATCCCTGACATTTTGTTAGTTCTGCGCACGGCATGGAAAGAATGTTTACGTGCCCTCAAGACCTTTGGGTGTCATGAGTACAGAAGTTCCATCAGTTTAGATCTATAGCGAATCAGAACCAGAACTAAAAATTTCTTTAAAAAGGATCACTTCAGATTGAACCCACACCATGCGCAGCCCTTATCACCAGGGTGCAGATTTCAGTAGTCGAGTCCCATGAGACGTCTATCCATAGACAATCTGTAGCTAAGACTCTCCTACACCTCAACAGTCTGCATTCTAATGGCAGGTCGTAACATACGACTGTACCAATTTTCATCTCTGCTAGGCCGAGATGACATGGATCAGAGAATAGCAATGTGTTCATGATTCCTCGATTGTCTTGAAAAGTGGGATCATTTCCTTGATGACATTTGGTTTAGTGCAAAGCCCATTTTCCACCCTGTGGGATACGATAGCCTAAAAAATGCTGTTTATTGGGCACCCCACTCCCTATTGTCTATAGAAGCCACTTAATTCTGAATAGGTATAGTGTATGTGGCTTTAAACACTCTTGGTTAAGCAGATCATTGTGTGTGGGCGCGATTAAAATTTCGAACGAAGCGTTAAAAATGTGTCGAGTTCAAAGGAAGGCATGTAGAGCACTGCTTCTACAAATTCCAGAATGAAATCGTTAATTTTTTAACGCTGTGAAAGAAATTAGGTATTGTTTAAACGTTACAGGGATGGAAATTAAATGTCAAAGAGAAAATAAAGAAAAAAGTCAATCAATCTTTTCACGACTTCCTTTACAAGATTTTAACAAAATTGGTGAACTTTGAGTTTATGGGTGCTTTTTTCTTTTAGTTTGAGCTATTTCCGTTTTCCAAATAAGTTTCTTTTTTGTGGATTTTATGTCAAACAAATTCCTTTTGATATTTGTTCCTATTTACAGCATGCTAGAATAATTTTTGTGCAAGATATTCAGAAAAAAAGTTGTACAGTTTTTTTTGGGATCACCCTGTACTTCTAGCGGGAAGATCTCTTTGAAACTTTCAGTATTTCTCAAAAATATCATTTTGACAGACTGCTATGCAAAGCGTATAGATCGGATTAACGAGTAAATTTCCTCTTTGGAAAATGGTGGCACAGAGTTCCCCAAGTCGTATGGATACGATAGTAAAACACAACGTATGGATAGGGTTAATTAAGTATTTTAGGGCGCTTGCAACTGCATAAGATCATATGAGCGTGCAGGACTCAACATCATGAGTTTGGTAGGAAGTTTGAATTTTGCGCTGCCCAAGCCTACTCTTATAGATTTTAGGACCACCAAGGGATCTTTAACTTGTTTACTGATAGCAGCCAAAATCTAGATTTGAGCTATAACAAAGACATGATACAATGTGTGTAGGCTGTACCAGGTAAGCCAACTTCACATCCCACCCATCCTTGCTGCCTTCATGACATTTATTTTGATACAGTGACAGAGAGCAAACTTAGGATACATAACGTTTAGTGGGCAGACAGTGAAATGAAATGAAGCATGGGTGTGAAAGATATCAGGGTGTGAGTGTGTGTGAGAGAGAGAGAGAGTGTGTGTGTATATAGGTGGATGCATGAGAAGAGTGGGAGTGTGGTATTATGGAAAAAAGAGGGAACGGATGTTGCACAATATTTTTCTTTTCACTGAACAGTAAGACAAATTAATGCACATCAAGGTAGAACATACGTTGGGTCTTCCCTTGCTTGAACAGCGACAGGGTTTTGACTATTATATAGCACCATGTCTAAAGACCACACAGAGAGAGCTTCACTGATGACTTGTACAGAGAAGAATCCACTATCGTCATAATTGTTTGACGGTTGCTGAAATGCAAGAAAATCAGCTAGTTAAGAAAAACTAAGAAAATAATTATAAATTATGATAGATTTAGGAACAGCCAAAAACACAAAGAATCACAAGCAAGAAAAAACATTATCTATCGGGGAATTATGTCATATCAAATTTGGTATTGACATGAACTCTTAGACCATCACTGCTCACTATCATAGGCCTATTTTAAGAGTTCTACAGTAAAGTTTTGCCCAAAGAAGACAGCATTCTATCTCACAGTCGTCAATCTTGCAAATGACAAATTATAATCTAATATAATAGGCTTACTTTGAATTCCAACACCCTGTAGTCTTTAATTCTACAGTAAACCAATTTTATTTTCTCTTTGTTCAAACAGCAGCATAAAGCATATATATCACTGAAAGACGAGTGCAACATATTTGCAAACATAATGAAAACTGAGAAAAAGGCTGATGAACAAAGTAAAACTATTTGTAAGCGCTTGCCTCAATAAATCTCTGATACTCATTGGTTGCAACACCGCCCTCTGCCATCCTGTCTCGTTCTCTCTCATCGAGTCTTGTCCCAATTTGGGCCAAATCCACAGCGCTGAAATACTGGTTCTGGAGGAGAGCGTTCAGGCAGTGCTGAGCACACAAAGATCCTTCTTGCTGAAATTTACAAAAGCAGGTTGAGTGGGAAGTACTAAGATTTAGTAATGGGTCCTCCTACCCAACCCAGCGCATCCCCGGGCGGTGGATAGGTGAAAGGCCTCCAAATATGGAGGTTAGCTGCTAAGCAGTTGCGAACCAAATGGGAGATGGTCGTGAAGAGTAGAGGGGAACTATGGTGGCACAGGTGCTTCAATAAATACCTCACACACTCGAAGAAGGGACCATCTTGGCGACGGGAGGCGCCATAAATCCTACCAAAGCCCCCACTGCCTTGTGGGTTGTCAGTGGATGACAAAGGCTAGAGGAGAAAACTGTACACAAACCGGCAGTAGGCATAGGGAAACCACTACTGTAATATCCCAAGAATAGTCATGGAAAAGTTCATTCATTTATCAGATAACAGCGTTAAGGGGTTTCATGATCCAGCTCTGAACTCCCCACTTGGTAGGGACTGCCACGGGCAGCAGGTGGCGCCCGATCGTCATCCAGCTACTAGTTGCAAAAATAAGCAACTTACCATAGCCACATGGAATGTGAGAACAATGTACCAAAAAGGCAAATTAGATAATATAGAGCAGGAAATGGATAGGATGAAGCTAAATATTTTAGGCCTTTCATAAATCAGTTGGGAGGGGGGAGGCTTGATTAAAAGAGGACCCAAAACAATTATACATTCAAGAGGAAAAACCCATGAAAGAGGAGTCGGAATTTTATTTGACGAAGCAACAGCAAAGAGCATAAAAGGTTTATGGGGAGTGTCAGATAGACTTTAGAGTCATCGTGGCTAAATTAGAGGGAAAACCTTTTGACATAGGTAGGTGTCATCCAAATATATGCACCAACATCAGAGAACAACAACGAGGAAATTGAGACTTTTTATGAAGACCTTGATAAGGCAATGAAACAGTTAAAATCACAAGATGTAAAGATAGTCATGGGAGACTTTAATGTCAAAGTAGGAAGTACACGTATAGAAGATATAGTTGGGCCATGGGGACTGGGTAAAGAGAATGAACGCGGGGAACGAATGGTAGAATGGTGCAGAGAAAATAATTTTATGATATCAAACACCGGGTATGAAAATCACCCAAGAAGACGATACACTTGGAAGAGTCCTGGCGATAGAAGTAGAAATCAAATAGACTTCATATTTATTCAGAAACATTTTAGAAACACAATTAAATCATCTAAATCACTGCCAGGAGCAGACTGTGATAGTGACCATGTACCAGTCATGTGTAAAATGCGGATGAGACTGAAAAAACTCCAAAAGTCAAAGTACCAACCTAAAGACAAATCAAGAACTGAAAGAATGTTTCTCCATAGATGTAAGAAATAAATTTCAAGCTTTGGAAAACATTACTAAATTGGAAGAACTATGGAGGAAAATGAAAGACTCAATAATGGAAGCTGTCGAAGAAAATATCCCCCCGAAAGCTAAAAAAGCTAATAAAAAATGGATGACCCAGGACATATTAAAACTAATGGAAGAGAGAAGAAAGGCCAAATCAAATGAGGAAAAGTACAACATCTTAAACAGGAAAATAAAGAAAAAATGCAACGAAGCAAAAGAAACATGGATAAATTTAATGATCAGTGTCAACAACTAGAGAAAAACCAAAACAAAGACAGCAAATACATGCATTCCAAAATCAAAGAAGTAAATAGGATAAAAGGATGCTCAAATACAGGAAGCATAAGATCAAAAGGAGGAGATACTTTACGATGTCTTAAACAGATGGTCAGAATACATAGAAGAACTTTTCAGAAAGCAGAAGTACAAGCTGCCATTAGGAAAATGAAACAAGGAAAAGCCACAGGGCCAGATAATATTCCAGTTGAGTGATTGTTGCGCTTGAAGAACTAGGCACTGAAATAACCACAAGGCTCCTAAATGCTATTTATGACAGCGGTGAGATCCCAGAAGATATGATGAAGTCAGTTTTTATCAACTTTACCTAAAACACCAGGTGCCACTGAGTGTGACATGCATAGAACAATTAGCCTTATGAGTCATGTTACAAAAATATTGCTAGAATAATAATGGGAAGATTGAGAAAAAGTGTAAGACTGGAGATTAAAATGCAATTCGGCTTTGTTCCTGACAAGGGAACCAGAAATGCTATTCACCTTAACAATGTTAATGGAAAGAGATGCACTGAAGCACAGAAAGATCTGTATTTATGCTTCATTCAAAGGCGTTCAATAAAGTTAGACATGATGAGCTATTTAAAATACTGGAAAAGCTAGACATAGAAGGAAAAGAATTATCAGAAATTTGTACGAATTAATGGAGAATACAGTGAATATAAGCAGATTAGGCGAGGAGTGTAGAATTCTGTGGGGTAGACCTAGGTTCTTCTAGATCTATGGTCTAGGTCTAGATCTAGGCAGACAGACATAAATCTTTCATCTAGTTTCGCGGCTAACCTAGATCTAAATGAAGATTGCGGATGTCGTTTCGATGAACGATTGTTTTTCCTCCGTTTTGGAATTGGAGGAATCACAATCCGAAGAAAAGAACAAGTTACAATGTCATAATTTCAATCGAGCAGCCTCTCTCTCTCTCTCTCCTCTGTGTATCGCTCGCCTTCTCTTTTTCTTTGTTTGTCTCTGTATTTCTTTGTCCCCACCTATTTCCCACTCTATCTTTCTCTCGTTCCCTCCTGCCAACTGGGGCATGTCATATACATTTTGCTAGCACCCCCCCCCCCCCCCCCCTCTCTCTCTCTCTCACACACACACACACACACACACAAAAGATTTCTACCGGGTCTGAGGTCTGAAACTTCCCGAAATCACAAAAGAGTTCCCTTACCGGGTCTGTATACTTCGTGACTTTGTCTGTATACACTTCGTAATTCTAATTGACGTTTTCACTTGAAGGCACTTGAATTTAGTGAGTAGGCCTAGATCTAGATCTAGATATTAGAGCTGCACCCCGGTAGCAAACCCGCTCCTGCTCGCAAGCCTCTAGTTCAAGTCACAAGCCTCAAATCACTAGGTCAAATCATCAAATCAAATTACCAGCATGATCAGTTGAGTCTAGCACAAACTGTAGCCACCTTGGTCTAGTCTAAACTTCAAGTCCACACCAACTAGCAATACGCAAAGCCACCCGTGTCAGACCCCCTCATCCTCCCCACCATGCTTGCAATCTGCGAAGCCACTTACATCAGAAAAAGAGAAAGGGGGAGAGTGAGGGATCCCGCTCACAGTGTCACTGCGCGGTGTAGCGCTGTAGTCTGCTCGATTAATCGAAGGCTTGTTAAGTAAAAGCAGTGGACAGCCGTCAAGTCTCAAATCCCGTCCGCAGCACACAAGTCCCATGGTATTGCTTTGTGCTAGTGATTGTTCACTGCCCGGCAAGTCTCTCTGCTCCCATTTTTAGCTTTGGCTCCCAGGACCAGTTCGAAAGCTGGCAAGTCACTCTGCTGACTTGCTGTAGCAGCAGCGAGCAGCAGGACCGCTCGCTGTGTGAACTCTGAACCGTGGAGGAAGGGAGAGGCTGTGCTTCTTTTGGTGCAAGACGTAGTGAGCTGAAGTTATTTTCAACTTCCCACCGTTGATCAGCTTAGCGGGTGGATAAGTGAGAGGGACCAGGATTGTAGTATCAGAGACCTAGGTTTTTGGTAGTAATAAGACATATATAATCTAGTAGACTTAGATTACCCTAGAATGGAAAACTCCAGGGGCCGTTGTGATTGGCTTTTGTATCGTATGTATGTAACCTATTTTGAAGATGTTTTACACGCACATTGACATAATACAGAACATTTAGGAGACGGGATAGGCCTACTTCAACCCAATGTCAGGGCCAACCTGGGCTGAGAGGGAACAACGCCCCAGCAGAAAGACGGAGGTTCTCAGTAAAAATTTCTCCCCATACAGGAATCGAACTGAGGTCTTTTGCGTGCGATGATGAAGCGCTTGGCTCGTGCACATTAAAAACAAGCAGGCCTTTGCATCGTAAGAATAGCCGATCCAGTATTAATTTTTAAGTGCATTGAATAGAGCTTTTTATTTTTTACAACCCGACTATGAAAAAACCCAACCATCTTGCACTTTGGGTGCAAGCCTCTCAACGCAAATAAGGGCCTAATCAGAGAATCTTCTGTAATGTGTACTGAGCCCACAGTCACGAAGGTTTGCGGCGTCAAGACACAGTACAGCAGGACAGTCCGCGAGTCACAACTCACCGGAAGTTACCCCGGTAGCAAGCGGGAGGAAAAGGACACAAGCCTGCTCGCAAGCCGTCCGCTGCTTTGCAAGCCTTCGATTAATCAAGCAGAATACAGCTCTACTAGATCTAGATAATATCTATATTCTAGAGTCTACATCAAGATCTAGAATCTAGACCTAAATCTAGAAGTAGAAGATCTTTGCTTGACTATTCTGCTACGACGAATCAATTTCGTAGTTTCCGTTTGTTAAAGAAAGTCCACGATCCACCATTTGTTTACGAAAGTGGCTATTCTCACCCGCCCGGAAGTTCTCGCAAGATCTACTCCTCCCCTCTTCTCTCTCTGTCTCTTTCTGAATACTGTCTATCGGTGTGGACGATCAAATTGACCAAAACAAAGTTAAAAAATGATGTTAAAACACAAAAGTAAATTAATTTGGTTGTCTACAGAGATGCTACGGCTATTTAACTTTTCGAATCGAGCCGAACTACGCGGGTCGCCATTTCGTTTTGTTCTCTCTCTCTCTCTCTCTCCACTGCCCACAGACAAAATTGTACGCTTTTAGTAGGCTACAAGTACAGTTGTAATGGAACGTTTGTTCACAGCACAGAATTCTACAATTTTTCTGTTATCACAGTGTAGAATTCTGTGGTTTAGGGTGAACGCAAAATTTGTTGGCCTAGATCTAGGCTATAACGGTGAACGCGCACCAGGTGAGAATAGCCAAAAGACTCGCCTGCACTATTCTCACCCCGGGTGAGAACAGAGGACTTAGAGGTGGCCTTTGTTTACATCCAGAGAATAAATCCAGAAGTCTTGATCACCAAATACTATTTGAAATAGATATCTAGGCTACACTAAGAGCAGGGATGCAACCTAACTGCAAAACATCAAATTAGGATCTGAACCCCCCCCCCCCAATATTTTTATTAGGCTTCCCCTGAAACCCCCCTACTCTCTTGTCTTGACTACTTTAACGAACGAAACTACAAAATCGCCCAATTTCCATTCTGCTTAGCCTGTAAAAGGAACGAAACCAAAGAGACGACAACTACTTTACCTTTTCGTGAAAAATAGACTCCATGTTATTTTTCTGATATCAGTATTCCTCACAGATTTAAATGGAACAGAAATGGGGAAAATAGATCAAGAGCCAAGAGTCGTTTTGTCCAATCTTCTGAAATTCAGACTGTTTGTCACTGTTTGATGTTTTGAGTCATCATAACGTAACTCTTTTCTCAAAGAGCTCAATTCCATCATCTTCTCATTTCAAAATCCTCCTAAGTGAACTGGGAACCTCTGATAACGAAACAAATTTAATTCCCGGCAGCCACGATTTTTCAAGTGACAGGGCTATCTCATGTGCGTATAAATTTGTCATCACATAACTTCAAAATACCAAAAGAGGCCACAGGCGCAAAATATGTATGTTATAGCAGCTTTCCACCCCCCCCCCCTTTTCTCAATTTTTACCATTCGTTTTTTTGTTGTTGCTTGTAACTTGTTTTTTGTTGCTTATTTGTTTATTGGAAGGGGGGGGGGGGGGGGGGGGGGACTTATAACATTGTACATTATTCTTCCCTGTCCTTATTTGTATTCTTTTTCCATTTTGTACCTTTTGATCTTTGCCTCATCTGACCACGGTATTTTATTCCCAAGTTTTTTTTTAGTCTTTTGTGTCTGCTTTTTTCCCCTCCGTGCCACCTTTTTTCCTTTTTCTTTCCTTCAGTTTTTATTTCTTCGTTTCATACTCATCTTCCCCCATGTTAATTTTTCTTTCTTTCTACTTTCTTCTCATTTTTCCTCGTTTGCCTGTCACATATGTTCGGGCCATATATCAAACAAGAAGAAGATCAGTATATCCAGGAAGAAGTTATATATATAGCTGCTATTGTTTTGTTAGAACTGACAGAAAAGAAATAACTACGACATGCACAGAACAGGGAGGGAGAAAAAGATGGATATATAGTAGAAGATAGATATAACAGGGAGGGAGAAAAAGATGGATATATAGTAGAAGATAGATATAAAGACAGACAGATAGATAGGGAGAGATAGATAGTTAAGATAGACACAGATAGAAAGAGGGAGAGAGAGAAAAGAGAAACACAACAGCGACCGCCAGAGAAAAAGAAGGACAGACAGACAGAAAACAGAGTGACATACAGTCAATCCTCGTTATACTGCCACCCTTGGGACGGGCATGAAGTTGGCAGAACAGCAGGGCCGGCAGTTCAACCGGCGGGTCCCTTTGTTGTAGAGACTGCTCAACGTCGTCAAGCAACATGATCTGCTGTGCTGTGTTTGAAAAGGGCCTTTTTCTTGGTGATATACATTTACATGCACATATGTATTCAAAGCTGACAGTCTTCTCTTTCTATTTTTGTGTCTTTCTCGAGGGGGAAAGATTATTAAATAGCCAACCAGTGAATGTTGCGCGTCGTGTGCAGTGTATACCTCTGGCAGGGTAAAATAAAAATTTGAATTGGTTAAAAAATAAGGACCGTACCACTTAGACAGCATGCGGATGGCACGAAAACACTATGTTTATATAGGTAACGTTTCTTTTCGTACACTGGCAAAACCTGGCGGTAAGCGGGGCTGGCAATACGAGGTTTGATTGTAGTTTATATTTCTTTAGAAAATGTAACAAGATAAGTTACTGTACACTGCTATCCTATAAAACACTTTTTTTGGGTTAAAAGTAAAGAGGAAGTTTTACCTATTTCATGCATTCTTAAAATATTAACGAGGGGAGTGGGACATTTTGCGTATGAAACACACTATAAATTCTTTAAAAGGAGGACAAGTAAATAAAGTATTGTCAGCTTGAGGGCTCTTTCATCAACTTTATATAACTGCCCCTGCATCTCACCCCCCCCACCATCCCCCAATAAAAATATCAAGGCCTTTAAAAATATTTTGCAACACCAAAACATCAACAAAAAAACGTTTACTTTTACTAAAAAGGGCAAAAGCAAAATTTATGAACTGATGAACGAACAATAATTGAATATTAATATATTAGAGTTTATTTGCGTAAATAAGTACAGAACCAGCAGGGTATTATATATTTGGCATTAAAAGATATACTTATACACACATAGTACCTTTGATGCTGAAAGTGAGTGGGCATGGCAGCTGGCTAAAATGGGCCAGCCACCAATTTTTTAAGTACAGTTTAGTAGAAAGTAGAAAAATAAAACAGTATACGTTTCAGATAAGGTGAGTAAATTTTCATAAGCAAAAAGCTATGGGTTCACATTGACAGGTTTCTTAAACATATGAAGATATTTTCAATTGCACTTGAAAAGGAAATCAAAAGCTGTACAAGTAGAACCTACTCTCTGATGGTGGAAAGAATCAACAACTTGAGAACAGGACAAAAATGAGAATCGCAAAAATGGCACAAACTCAGTCTATTATAACTTGTTTACAGTAATCTCAAAAACTTTTGATACGTGACTAAAGATGGCTTATCGTTCACAATTCTAGGAAAAAGAGACTGTCATTGTGCCATCCTTTTTGTAACACCACACACAACAATCATATTTCTGGAACATACATTGGTAAAGACAGCTAACATACACACAAAATTCCCAAAATAATACTTGAAGATAAACCGGAGAAGTTCTCCATTACATAGACACAACAGCTTCTTAATTAAAATTGTTTGCGAAACAATATCAATACTCAAAACTTTTGACAGCATCATTTCCATAAAACCGATTTCTGCAAAGCAAAACTATTCTGTCACATTCAATATTACTGTGGGAATCAGAAATATGGCAAATCTTTTCAACTAGAATATCTTTTTGATATGAAAGTTCATAGACTGATGAACGAATTTATTTATAAAATGGCATATGAAATGGAACTAGGTGTCCAAAAATTTTTAATGAATGAGTAGAGTATTTTTCCTCCCAAACCCAAGGAATATATGTCATCAGAGTTGAACAGAATATGCAGTGACAAGGTAAGTATTCTCCCCTTGGTATCTTGGACTAAAAAGTACATGATTCTCCAGCAGTTTTGTAATTTATTAACTCATTCTCTGCCCAATACCGATATATCGGCAGCGCGACCGCACCATTTTCGCCCATTACCGATACATCGGCACAGGCTATACTCAAACTTTATTAAGTTCGCAGTTCGTAAATGCTTGATCCATAATTTTAAGTTTTGATATAAACAAATCTCAAAAGTAGGAGCTTCTTGCAACGAAATATAGTGTCTATAACTATGTAAGTGGGTGGAAAGTTGAAATTGTAGGAGTATTTTGAGTGGTGTGTTTGTGAAACCAAAACACGAAGGATGATCACACCCGTTTCTATAGTTCTAGCCAAGTTTTCTGGGTCTGGTAGTAAACGATCCTATAGGCATATAACTTGTAAACCAGACAAGGGAATTTTTCTTTAGTAAACTTGAGGACAGAGACGATATTGTCTTAGAATCCTTAGCTTTAGATTCTGATTCAGGTGATGATTGAATCGAGAGTGAGAAGCGTGAAAGACATATTCGTAGATCTAAATGTACAGTGACAGCTAGAAGGATAGTTGAAGATAAGGAAGTGAGTGAATATGCTTGGAAATGAAAGGGGAAGAAAGCCAAGAGAAGTGAAAATCAAGAGGATAATGACCTAAATCTAGGTTTAAATCTAAATCTAGACTTGGACAAGCAAGTGCGCATGCAACTCGGGCAAATTCTGCTTCATTACAACTTTTGGTATTGTCACAGTGATGTTACAAAATTGATCATGAAATCTGCTACAATTGCAAAATTTCATACCTTTTCGCATGAACATGCAGGGAATTGAATGTAACGTTCATTTTATGAGCATAGGAATCTGTTTTTGAAATATAAATTTTATTATTTATATTCAAAGTCGGAAATTTAGTCTGCCTTTTTATTAGCTCCCATGTGATTGACGTGTTCTCTGACAAGTATTAATTACGTCCTTTGCCTAATCAAATAGTTTTTTACATATTTCAAAGCTACCTTTTATTACCTTTCAAAATATGTCCGACATTACCTACTTGTTATTTCATTTTACATATATGAAAATCCCTCCCAAGTATACACACCCATCATTCACGATCGGCATGCACAGAGAAAACCGGTGAAAGCTGGTATAAAAATGGGCAGAGAATGAGTTAAGCTTTCCAATAACACACTTTTCACGTGTCTTATACATTTATACATTCATAATCTCATCTTAACAAACACTATTGTTGGTCTATACATTTTGAGCTAACGTTGAATTTATTTTTTGTAAAGACATTCAGTCTGTTGATCTTGTATTTATTGAGTTGTGATTATAAGATTAGACTAGATATGGCCACACATTCGAATGGTCATCAGTATTCCTGTGTGCAGGTGTGTGTGTGTGTGGGCTTGTGCATATGTGTGTGTGTGTGTGTGTGTGTGTGTGTGTGTGCGCGTGAGTGAGTATGTGTGTGTGTGTGTGTGTGTGTGTGTGTGTGTGTGCGTGTGTGTGTGCGCGCGTGTGCATGCGGGTGAGTGTGAGTGTGTGTGTGTGTGTGTTTGAGTAAGACAACCTGATAATCATACAATCAAATAACAATTCAATGTAAACAATATGACATTATAATGGCACAAAATCATAATGCAGTATACTTTTCAGGTCCTATATGATACAAAACGAATGATGTTTCAGACTGAATGACTTCAGTTTTTCATTAGATTATATATCATCAGGTAAATAAAAGAGGAGATGACTGTTTAAATATAATATATATTGGAATGTTATAAGTAGTTAATATGGCTTACATTTGTATAGATGAGTATTATGCAATTCCACAGTGCACGGTACAACAACATGAAATTATGCCGTAAAGATAATTAACTCGTTGCTGTAATTTTGCAGTACTTAATAAGTTAAATATCATGCAGTGATCATATTCATTCATCATTATAACTTTAATAACTTAGTTGTCCTTAAAGCATTATCCCTTTGAGCCCTGACCTCCTGAGGCTACTGTGCCCTTCTGCCCGAGCTCCTGGGTGATTCATGCCTTCTTTCATATCATTGTCAGAATCACACTCGATATCCCACTAAGGTTAGATCTAGTCCTTGTCATTACAACCAACTAATTCAAAAAGATCTTCAAAATAATCAGTAACACCCTGTGTAGTAAACAATGTTTTTCATATATGCGTTTTGTCCCAGGTGGGTCAGTTTTGGGATAGGGTCTAGCCCACCGGTGTATCAGTAGCTAGGCATACGGGCAATTTTACGTGCCATCGGTGCACCAGTGAGGGCTCAAAGGGTTAAACTCCCAATCTCTTTCTCTCTCTAATCTTTTTTTTTTCATCCTGAGGAGTATTGGCCATAAACAATTTGTTCTCTAAAGATCTTTGTCCAGCGCATCTCTCTCCAGCTGTGTCCCATTCTCACCTTGTTTCTTATCATCTGTCTCATCTTTCTCTGTTGATTTATACTTGGTCTTCAGCAGTACCTCTTTCCTTTGACATTTCATTTCAGTGCCTTTCTGATTATAGTAGCCCAACTTTCTCTAACAGTCCCTATGCAACCACAGCAAGTCAAATCACCTCAGACCCAAAATTCGTTTCAAGTATTCATTGATGAAAGTTGAGAGTTTTCTCTCTGCAACTTAGGCTAATTTCTAAGTTTCTGCTCCGCAAACGAAAGACGAAATTTCATGTTGTTTTCAATTGCCTCAGTTTTGTGCATTTACTCAACTCTCAAGACTTCCAGGCCTTTTGCAGCATAATATTGGCTCTTTCACATTCGAAAGCAATCTGTTCTTCATAGGCGGTTATTCCTCCTGTGTATGCTCTTCGATTGTTTCATCTTCTTGCCTCTATAGAAATTGGTGGAAGCAAGTGAAACTAAGCAATAACCATTATTAAAAGATCAATAATGTATTCTACAGTATGTTAATGTCAGTCCATTTTCATCAGAAATTCTGCTACAGCTCCAACTCAACAAAAGAGAAACTTTAAAAGTAAAAATTCTCTTTGATCTCTTTTTAAGGCACTTGAGTTCCCAAGTCAATGGCAGATAACCCATCTTGAAAGACATGAGAACAGAAAATTCAATACTTTCCAAGATGAAGTAATACATGTACAACAATTAAAACAAAAGGAAAAGATTTAGCTGTAAAGAATTAAAAATATTTAAAAAATTCTCCTTTGCAATCAAACCCTCTCTGAGTATTATAAGTAAGCCTGTGCACATTAAGCAGTGGGTGGCTGAGCTGCAAAATTATCCAAATCATCAGGCGTTTTGGAAGCTCCAGCTGTACCAGAAGTTGGCTGGGGGTCCATGCCCTGAGACCTCAGACGTCTGTTGCGAACAGCTCTCACAATGCACAGACCCACTTGAACCCCCCATAACAGAAAGGTAATCCATCCAGCAGCCTGAAGAGAGTTGGGGTTTAAAAAATAAAATCAATAGTTTGCAATATGAATGCTCCATGTGTCAATATATACATTGAGTATCCAAAGACAATTATTCTACAGGCACCATGACCAAGTCTATGTAGAAAAAAGAAAATAGCAACTGCACACAAAGACTATGAAAGAGGTTATGGCTATTCAGTTATGTGACCCAATACCATTTACAGTTAGGCACAGATATCACCAGAGAGGGTTTACAGTAACAGAGAGAAGTCACTCGCGGCGGCGCTCCTAAACAACAGTGCATTGTTTCGCGCATCGCCCCACGTGAAAACACTTTCACACAGTAGTCGCTGCCACAGCGATGCTCAGGGATGCTGTCATTTCATGAGAAAATGTAGTTCCATCTGTATTAGTTCACTGGGTTACTAGGTCTTCAGCAAAGAAGAGGATCTGTGAATTCTACCGCACATTTTACGCAACTCCCGTGCCTCCCTCGGCCATAAACTGTAAGACTTTGGCTTAAGTTAACATACATTCTAATAAACAAATAGATGCAGATACATTATTTCATCACTATAGATCTGAAAAAAAAATATCACCGTATAATTAAAAGCATAATCAATTTAATTTTCACCAAAACTACTCGTTCTCCAGTAACCCTCTGTCCTCTCTCTCCCTCTGTCTGTCTGTCTGCCCGTCTCTCTTTCTCATCTCTCTTTTTCACCCCTCTTTCACTCTCTCCCTCTCTCTCTTTCTCCCCCAGTCTCGCTCTATCTAGCTATCTGTCTATCTGTCGGTCTGTCTCTCTCTCTGTCTCTTTCTCTCTCTCTCTCTTTCTCCCCCTCTCTCGCTCTGTCTTTCTGTCAATCTCTCTATCTCTCTCACACACACACACATATACACACACAAACACACATACTGGTGCCTTTCCTAGAGGGTTCTCAATCTTATAAATATGATTAATTACCAAGTGTCATTTGGGGGAAATTCGCATGGCTCCCTGCCTTCGTCCTCCCTCTATCATTACAGAGTTACACTTTAAATAAATACTAAACCAAACAACAACAAAAACCAATCTCGAAAACGCATGAAGAGAGTGTTGTTAAATACTTGCAATTTCAGATCATGGGAAAGCATATGAAGTAATAATGATAGAGCTATCACATAAGGAGTTCCACAGGATCTCCAACACGTTCCTCCATCTCCCATCCCAACCCGCCCCCCCCTCCCAACTGAAAAACATTGATTAAAGGCACAAAAAAGGATAAATTTTCAATTACCAAGCACTCTCAGGCAAAATTTGGTGGCCATTTTCTCGCTAATTTTACCTCTGAAACCAGGCGACCCTGGCCTTCTTCAATCGCAAATATTTTGACTTCTATTCAACATAGATGGACATTTCTTTCACCAAAAGGAAGGCAAGTGAATGATTTTAAGATGATACCGATAACCCCATATGCCCAAAATTGACGAGCGCCTAATTTCACCACGTCGTGACACATATCTTTCACTAGTAGAATGCAAGCTCAATTTGGGCATTTAGACTGAAAACAAAAAGCAATTGATAGCTGATACAGCAAAGTTGATTTGGACTTAAATTGGTGCAGTTTATAGCAAAACACCATTGACACTTCGTGCTAACCGGGGCCATGCTTGTCTGCGATCAACGAAAATGCCTTGAACAATGGACGCAGTTTGTTTTGTTTACCGTGGGTTTCTCCACGATCAGCTGGTGACCTAGATACGCGCATCCGGGCGAAGTGTCAGCTCTCTAGAATAACTGTAAACTCTCTGATAATACTACCATGGAAAAATTGAAATAATGGATAGCTCGTACATTTTTGCCATTCCCCGACAGATATTGATATCTTTAATTTTTCGTTATATATCGCTTTACCCATATAACAGATGCGTTGAATACATTTGTCAATCTCCAAAATGTTTGAGTTATCCGTATCTGATTGTATTTAGTACTTAAGTCCATATTGGCAGACCATAGGGTGACCCATAAGAACAGCCATGATAAGGTCAGAGCATAATTTGGTTGAACAACCAGTCAGTTCAGCAGGAACCACAACGTAAAAACCATTTTTTCCCAGTGTCCAGAGAAATCATTGTAGTAACTATCAATGGAGAGATTTATAACAGCCACTCAAAATGTCATGTACTGAGAGTGGCAGCCCTTAGATATGCGTATAGGGTCAAGTGGAGGAATGTTCGTTTGACTTTTGCCAAATATAGTACGTGCAGGCCTACTGCCAATGTAGAGCAGGGCTGTCTACCTCAAAGTTCTCATTTCAGGTAGATTCAGGGCCAGTTTCAGGTAGTTTGGCCCAAAATCAGGTAGTGCAAAGACAAAGAAGGAAAAAAAAAAGATGATCGTTGTCCCATCGAACGCGCTTGCTTTCCGTGATATTGGGTAATTATATTTTGAAAACTTGTTTGTGCATGCCCGTGTGTCTGTGTGTGCATGCTCTCAAAAGTGTTTATATATGTGGGGAGTGGAAGGGGGTGTTTGGGAGTGCACAAGTTAAGATGAACAGAGTGTATGAAATGAGGCGAGTTTTTTTTATTTTTTTAAAAAGCAATTATGGAGCATCATTTTTTTGGGGTTGTTTTTTTTTGGTAAGTGTTTTACGGCGCTCACAACTGCATAAGGTCATATGAGCGCGCGGGACACACCTAATATTTTTAGTTGGTAGGAAATTTGGAATTTTGCCCGGGTGTCGGCCGAAGCCTACTCTTATCGATTTTAGACCACCAAGGGATCTTTAACATGTGCAACTTGCACACAGGCCCTCCGAGATTTTTCGCCCTTGTCCGAGAAGGCTAGGTGTAGATCTTTCCTACCAGAAGATCAGGGGTGTGGCAGAAAGACAGCTGTAAGAAGAAGTCAAGGAGTAGCAGTAGAAAGAGTCAGGAGCCCAGAGGAGGGGGCAAAGGAGGTGAGGGGGTGGGAACAGAAAGAGGAGACAAAAGCAGGCCACAGAATATTGCTAGAGAGCAGGAAAGGAGGTGAAAGGAGACAATTTTAGAGAAGAAAATTTTTCGGTTGCTACCCGGATTCGAACCCGGGACCTTTTGAATGAGAGGCCAACACCTTAACGTCTAGGCCACGAGAGCCACCCTGGAGCATCGTTCAAGGCACCTATCATTTAGTATTGAATCTGGAATTGAGTATTGAGTGTCAAACTGACTTCAAAACCGTTAGCCCAGACCAATAGAAACTATATTAGAATTAAAACATTTTTCCTGACACTAGCATAAGACACTGATAAGTCCTTCGTGACTTAGGTATGACAGACAATTAATTTTAACTAGTTTTACCCTATAAATACAAAATAATCCTGATCTGGGCCTGAGGAAAGGCAAGAAGAAAATCAACTGCCAAAACCATGTTTGGTTTCAGCAATCACGTATTTTAAAAAGCATGCAAGACAAAACTTATAAAACCTTTATAGTTCGGCTTACGGCAGAGCAAAAAGTGAAAATAAAAGAGAGCCTGTACTGAGAGCCGGAGCTGGAAGGACTGTGAGAGCGTGGGATGTAGTGATGCTGAAAACCTGGCGAACAGTGAATCACTGCATCATGGACTAAGTATTTTTTTTTTTTTCAAAATGCTAAATTACAGTACCAGTTTTTAATCAGCAACAAGCCATCATGATGCATAGGCATCCAACATAAAGCTTTCCGAGGGTTGAAAATGGCATTTCCTCATTGCCACTATTCAATTTGTCATCACTGACAAATCATCAAGCCTGTGCTCTAATGTCAAAACCATTTCCACTTATAGTTTTTATTTTAGCATCAGTTTCTTGCACAGAGGCTTTATCCTGCTGCCGTAGACTTTATTGCATCAAACACCTCCCCTCAATTCTGAAGCCCTGAAACACTCCTACTTTGAATGAACTTCGATTACTGCAACAACCACCGGCCGGTCCCTTACTCATACGATGTCAACGCGCACAGGTTCACTGACCGGTCACGATGACGGGCCCAACAATCTAGAAATCGGAGTACGCTTGTTTTCTTTCTCTTCCTTTTATTGTCATTATGGTGACATCAGTGAGAATATCGATTTAATTTGTATGGCGACACTGTGTTTTTTTTATGCACAAACTGCACGTTACAAATCATTATTAACTGTAAATCTAACATCTAACATTAACAAACTATCATCGGACAATTCTGAGCGGTAAAGGAAGCGAAAGTAGATTTTGATTTTCCCAATGGAGTCTCAGTATATTACACCACATTTTTGCCTGCCCCCATAGCAGCTTATTCGCGTGAAACGTACTCTCGGACTGGGGAGAACCGAACGTAACATCACAAACGCAACCGGTAAAAATATTATGAACTCAGTAGCCATTTCAGATTTGGTTTCAAGGACTTTGAGCATTTTCTCGGGTCTCAGCTATTTTTTTTCCAGATTCCCGCAGTCCTCCTGCATAGAATCCTCATTTGGTACTGACCATTCTGTAGACCAAGACATATTTTAGAATAATTTGTTTCGATATCGATTTTCTTTCTACATTCACAATTCTGTTTTCAAGATAAATGAATTAAATGCACAGATTTTCCAGCCGTAGCGAAAACCCGAAGATAGACAGAAAGAAAGAATGAATGAAAGGAAAGAGGAAGATTATCTATCGTGAGTAGACAGATTTTAGCCGATATGCACGTGAAAAACTATTGCAGACCGAATGGCACAGATAGACAACGGTTGAGTGTACGAAATGCGCAATCTGTCAATTTCTAATACAACCTATTGCCGAGAGTTGCAGTATATCTGACAAGTTATGGTGGCAAGTGCTTCTCTCTCTCCCTCTCTCTCTCTCTCTAACGCAAGGAGGTGATATGATGATGTGGCAAGTACGGAACTTTCAGAATGTACAGATTTCCGCAAAAACAAAGAAGAATGGAAACACAGCAGAATGTGGTTTTTTTTCTTCTTTCGGCACCAATTGCAAATCCGGTAGTTTTGACACTTTATCCGTATGGCGATAGAACACACCCAAAATAGGTATCTACCGGAAAAAATGGCAAATTTAGGCAGCCCTGGTAGAGTACAATAATAGTCATGAAGGCACAACAAAGCGACTGGTAACACACAGGGTTGTCATGTTCAGATTAAGTGACAAGCCTGAAATGTTAAATATTTTTGTTGTGTGGTGTGGGCAACCATGTATGGTAATCTAGCCTACACTGGATAAGTTGGAACCGGGTTTGCTTACTGTATTTCTCAAGACAATGAACAAACATTAAGTAATGAACTGAAAATAACAGAATGCACACACTGTTTCACTAACGAACACTTGAAAGGTTCTGCAAATATGATACACAAGTCAGAAAGATAACTACAACGGAAGCCTCCTGATAATGCGTGCAAAAGTCACAAAATGAGGCAAGACATGAATCTCAAAGAAATCTGACAGTAAATTGAGAGAGGAAAACCCCCCCAGCCCACTTTCTACTCGTGTACAACATGTGGAAAAGACCCATACCAATAATCTCCATAACCTACAAATGGCATATATATATATATATATATATATATATATATCTCAAACAGGCATGCCCTTTTCTATGCCTCACCACTGTCGGTGTGGAGTTGCATAATAGCAATATCTGACCTGTGTACATTCATAAATATGTTTTAGATATTAAATTATAAACACTCATTTAATCTGCATTATAAAGGGTACTGATGTGACTTATACTTTTACATTTGGTAAAAATGATTATGTGATTTCTTACCTCTGACACTTTTGGAAAGGAGTAGAAATGAGAGTATGTATAGTCTGTGTTAGATACTTTATTCCAGTCCATATAGACACCATCAGAGCAGCTGTGGAAAAAAAATCAGTATATGTATCACCAAATCCACTAATAATAATAACAAAAATACACTTATATAGTGCTCTATCCAATACGAGTATAAGCTCTGAGCGCTTTACTTTACATATCAATCACATGATCACTGAGCGATTAACACAAAATAAAATATTTCAGAGTAACAAGAAAAACCAGATCAACCACATAAAGAAGAACATTTACAGCCATACATTAATTATATAGGCCTACATGTAAGGACATGTTATTGATAAAAATAGACGGTAACATAAATGATGACACTATAAGGGGGGTGTGGGTGTTGAGAAGTGGTGGGGGGAGGCAATTACAACGAATTATAGGAGATTTCCAGGTTGAGAACCATAGATATGGGGTACATAGAAGCGGAACCAATAAATTGGCAAAAAGATATTATTAATCCGAATACAGGTAAAAGAGGCTAAAACAGCACCTGGACATGGATGGCTGGTGCCTCTATAAATAAATCATTGATGGTCTGGTCTGGTAAGGACAGCACTAAAACCAAAACATATCAGCACTTGCTACTAAGTTTATGAATCTCATGGAACTCCTGCTGAGAGAAAACATCTCTACAAAATAACAGCATGAACCATTTAAACATTTCACTGCAAAAATTACAAAAATAATGGACCAAAATTGAAATATGAGCTAAGACATCTTCAAAAAAGCGAGTTATAGCTGTCTTTAGACTTTCCGTGTTTTATCTTGTGAAAAACAAAGGACACCTGACTTCCTTTCTCAGAGTTTAAAAGACATTTTGAAATTCTCATTTGAAGGGATAACAGTGAAAGACAACCACCAAATCACCACTATTGGAGTAAGGTAAAAAGAGGCACTGATAACCAATTGAATTTGCTGATCATTCAATGACCTTACCCTTTGTTTATGGAATCATTTTCCATGCTTGGACAGAATTTAATTTTGGTCAGTCAGAATAGATTCGAGTGGCGGGTCACTTAAATGATTGGCTACTTTCTTCTCAACAATTTTTATTCTTCATGAAAAAAACGAAAATTATTTAACGAATCAGATTATGTAAACTGCTGGAACAAAACATGTTAATCAAATTGTATCTCATTCCAGATAATACAAACCAGGTAAAAAACAAACAGCACAAAAAATATGTCAAATTTGAGAATCACCAAATTAGTAAACCTATAAATTACTGAGAAACTATTTTTTATGTGCCACTTCGAAAATAAACATTAAATTCTTAATGAATATGTTAATTGTCACTCTTCATTGTTAAAAAAAAGTAATTTGCAAAGTTATAGCTGTTTTAGTGAAAAAATCAACTGGGCAATGAAATTGTTAAAACACAGCCACAAACTAAAACAAAGCACAGTTCTAAACACCATCCGTCTGATTCAAACTATTGACAAACCAATTGAATCCCCCCAATAATACTAGTCATACTCTGAAGGAACTGAGTCGTTTTCAGTGTTAAACACATTGCATTCTCATTGGTCCATGCCACTGGGCACAGGTAACTTGGAGACAACAGGTAAAATTTACAACAAATAAATGACAACTTGAAGGATCCAAAAAGGGAGATTCGTATCAAAACAACATGATAACGATGAAACATAACCTATGAGTAAATTTTTAAAAAATAAGAACTTTCTTCTTTGGTAACACATACGATTTTAATTTCGAGCCTAGTTTTTGGCCTTCAAGCAATCCGTCACACATTTCTTTGAGGCCAACACTGATGACACAGCTGCTCACAAACATCAACATTGCTATCAATGTGTTGACAAGCAGAAATGGCATAGACCACATTTGAAACCTGAAGGAAGATAGGCAACAGTAAACTGTAGTAAACAGCTACCAAGCTTTCAGAGTGAATAACATACACACACATACAGATAAAAATATCCTATACACATCTTCATCACATCATAAGTTTATTTTTTATTCTATTCATGCTGAAAAATAAACTTTGAAAGTACCGTCTTAAAAAAGACCTTGGCCCTCTTTCTTTTCACTTCATATCAACAAAAGTTAAGATTAGCAACCTAAAAACAAATCCTTGTAATTTTTATTAACACAAAGAATAAGAATACTGGATTTTTTTCAAACAATGGCCAAAAACTTCTTGTTCTACATTTTAAAGTACACAAGTTTTATCATACCTCAGTTATACAGAAACAAAACCAAAAATTGAACTACTTATATATGTATGTATTCTTATTTCTGAGCCTACATTGTTGACATGTCATAAGAAATTTTAAGACTCATCTGAAAGTCCTCACAGATTTTTGATTTTCGTGATTCAACTGCCAAGTCTCTCACAACACAAAAAAATACAATGAATGCTCAAACTCAATCTCAAAGAAGTGATTAGACTGTTTTGTGTCTTGTTTTATAAAAAATATTGTCACATTTGGACTTTGATACTCCGCCGAGCACAAAATTCAAGTGCTGGGATTCAAGAACCAAATAGAGATATCAACTGAGATAAAAAATTTGTTAACAGATAAAGAAAAATCCATTAAAAAACAAAGACGGGAGATTTTTAGAAAATAGATCATCTTACAATTTAAGAAGTAAAAGTAAAAAGGAAATATGACAATAAAATGTGTAATCTATACTTACCCCACATTTGGGTCTTTGGATTTAAAGGCTGCATATGCGTGATAAATAGCCATTCCTAGACTATAGAGTATACAAGTAAATACTGCTGAAAATACTGGAAAATTGCAGGCTGCAGGGTTGTTCAGCTCATAAACAGCAAAAGTGGCATTCTTCCAATGCCATTTCGTGTACAGTATGCAGTGGTTGTCAAACTCAACCTGTGGAAATGAAATTAGACCATATATTAGGCAACAGATCATGCCTATATGCAAAACTTTCCCTTCCCAGGGAGAACGAAAAGGGAAGCCAAAAACGTCCTTTCGGTCAAAATCCGTGCTCACAACTTTAGGTTTGTAGGGGGGAAGATCAGTGTACCTTGCATCCAAAAAGGGAGAAATTCTATTTCGATGAGTACGAGGTTCCAGTGAAACCTGTCAGATGAGCAAGAGTATTTTTAGATCAACAATGCAATGGAAGAACTGCTGCCATAAATAAGTCAGGTTTAAATACCATAATTTGAAGCAAACAATCACAGTTGTGCCCCATTTTGAGTTCCCTAGTCAAATGTACAGTAGTCTTAAAAGAGAGACAATTCATATTTCTCCATGCCACTGTAAATATGTAGGAGATGAGACGAGCCATCATACTGCAAACATTTATAAGTGACTATGCAAGGGCAGTGTTCAACAACAGATGCATAAGTCAAAATAATTCTCTCAATGATTCCCAGCCTTGTGAGAGAGATGTCAACTTGCCCCCACAATTTTGAAAAGAGTGTGACAATCAAAGTGTCAAAATCACTGCAATACCAAACCAAATTAAAATTATGCCTTGTTTTATATTAAGTTTTTTTTATGTGACTGAATAAAAGCACACATAGAAGCATAGTGACAGAAAGTTTTTTGAATTTGAATAGGAGTCTTTTACTATATGAATCATTTATCAAATTAATTAATCATGTGATGCTCATAAATGCATGTCAAATTAATCGATGATACTGCGAGTTAAACTCAAGAAGAAAAACAAACACAAAACAAGAACCCAGAAAAAAATGCCATAGTGCCATCATGTTCTAGATCTATCTCTCACTACTTACCACAGTAACTCCCAAAGGTACTGCCACAACAAATCCACAAAGGAATATCACAAAGTAGACGAGAGACTGGACAAGAACTTGAATATCATAGGCCATTTTCCTCAAGAAGCTCTCACAAGTCAATTTTGCTGAAAAGACCAAATAAAAATGAAGCATTTATGAGGACAAGGAATGAATAATCTTACTTTACTTTACTTTTCCAGCGGCCATTTGTGTTCTAGCCCTTCGGCCTGTGGAATTAATAATCAAAATTAAACGTGCTTTTTCAAATACCTAGTGCACATGCAGTGGAGAAAGTTTCATTATACAGTGGAATCCTGTTATAACAAGAGGGAGAGGACTGCTACGAAATGTCCGTTATAGCAGGATTCTCATTATAAGGGACCCAGTAATAAATTCAAAGGAAATAATAAAGTAGGCCTAATCTATAAGTCATAATAATGAGTTCGGTGTTCTGTTTTGCTCCTGATGATAATTTTGCCCAACATGACTTCTTGGTGTCTTACTTGATTAAAAATAGAATCAGCTTTCTTCCTCTAAAATAATAATAATAATAATAATAATAATAATAATAATAATAAATAGCATTTGTTTTGTATAGCGCATATATCCCTGCTCAACAGCAGGCTCTATGCGCTTTACACTATATTATTACCCTAGCAGACCATAGAACACTCCGAAACATTCCCAGCTTCCCGGGAAGCATACAGTGCAAGCAGCTGATGAAGCGCTGAAACACTAACAAACTGACAAGATCTTTCGCTGTTTATAGCCGGGTACCCATTCCCACCTGGGTGAAGTGAGGAAAATTTTCTTGAGCTAGCAATGTTGACAGCTCAGCAATAGCGATCAGAAAGAAAGCTTTCAAGGCTGTGTTGTCCCCCACCCCACCACACCCTGTCGCACATTCGCTTCATCCATCACAGCACTGTGACCTCTCCATCCCCGCATCGGAGAAGTGAGAGGCATGGTAGGCCTAGATAATCTAGACTAGGGTGGCCTATCATGTGATGCGTTCTGCTTCACAAATGCTTGTCTGCACATGCAACACCCTCCTCACTCATTCGCTTCAGCCTTCATTGTTGGCACATGTGGGCTCTCCCATTCTTTTTCTTTGTTTCACTTGATCACCAACAAGTTTCTCAACAGGCCAGGTTTTACATATATGTACAAATGGTCTATGTGCTCTGCACAGCAGCAGCAATATTCCGTTATAACCGACTCGCATGTTTTTCTGATTGCGCTATAATTTTATTTACAAAGACAAAGAAGGGAAAAAAACCACAGGGTTTTAGAATAGTGTCTTTATAACAGACTCCTTGTTATTTTAGGACTCGTTATAAGTGGACGCCTCAGTATCTCTTTCTGATATATGGAGGATGGCTAGGTTTTCCTCCAAACAAACGAGGCAGTCCTCCAAAATCGAAGACGCTTGACTTTCAAAGTCAAAATTGAGTGCACTTTGATATATAGCCACAGAATTTATAAGGCTATCATGTGCCAATAGGTCTATAAGATATTGCGGTTTAGATCATTTGTGCACAGAAAGGGACAGGCTATGGACTTCTAGGTCAAATTTCAAGAAAAAGGGACAACAACAAAATCTAGCCTTCATTGCATTGGTTTCTGAAGTTGGCATTTCCAATTCATTATTAAACCCATCCCACCCAAGCTTTGTAATCTTAAGTTGTAGCATATTTCTGTCAGACATTGACGCAAATAAATAAAATATATGCACTTTATGCCCGTTTTCCCTTGACAGATATCAATATAATGCCAAGGTGACCAACTTACTAAACTTTAAGCCAACTGAGGTGCCTTTGCCTTTATCATCATGGGATTTTAAAAGTTTTATATGAACTGCACAAGGCACATGATCAGAGGTTGCTTAATTTTTTGTAGCTTCATACTCTGTAAAGAAAACTGATTGCATTGCAATGTAAAATCTTATCTAGCAGAAACTAGTCCGATCAGGCCTTGCATACAATTAAATGCAGAGCGGAAAAAGATTTGTCGCAAGAAACACCTGCGCAAAAACTCATTACAGCCCGTCTTTACTATTTCAGATAGTTTGTTAAATCGATAATATACAAATCCGATCCATTCCAGAAAGGAAGGCTTACCCAAGTGACTGCACTGCCAACATTATGATAGCCTTGACTCTATAGCTTCTAGATCTATATAGGCCTCAGGAGCGGTCATGAATGAGAAATGCCACTCCCCCTTTTTATTTTTGGTAGAACTTTTTCAACAATATAATACACAGAATCTCCAGACTTTGTCACTGAAGCAATCTCAAGCAACAGAACTTAACTGTTGAATGCAACAAACCAACTCCATAAGAAGCTTCCAGTGAAAACAGAGAGAAAGAAATAAACTTTACAGCACGCTGAAACCAAGGCCACTGTGCAAATAGGATACTCATCCGCAGTCCGCAGCACACACTAATTGCCATTGTGGCGTACAGAGGCCTCCTAATAGGACGTTGAAAGTAAAAGAACCGATTTCCCAGCAACATACGATCTCACTTGTATTGGCAGCCACAATAAACAATTTGCATGTTGCTTCATTTCCTTATAAATAAAAACTGATAAAAACAGAAAATCACTTGCATTGCACTCTGTGACGAGTTTCTTCCCAAGCGGGCACACCGCACAGAACCACACAAGCACCAGGTCTATTATTTCTTCCGTGTTCTTGGCCCACAGCGGATTATTTGGCAAGTGTCATTGCTATTCCCAAACCGCTGCGTATAATGTTTAACGAATCCACCCAGAGAGGGTTTACACTACATACAAGGAGATTTAAAAGTAATGGAGGATGCTCTGTGGGCGGCACCGCACGCCTGATAGGAGCCCCCTCTCGCGGCGGAACCGTGGGCTACATGCGCTGCGCGATTGCCCGACTAAGGCACTGAAATCT